TGTGTGTGTGTGTGTGTGTGTGTGTGTGTGTGTGTGTGTGTGTGTGTGTGTGTGTGTGTGTTTGTTTGACAGAAAAGTGGCTCAAATGTGTTCAAATTTAGATTTGAACCTTTGAACCATTTCATTACCAGAAAAGAATGGAGGTTTAAAAACATAGCATTTATAATAAACACTTATTAGTATTAAATGTTTCTTTACTGAAGATTCCAGGAAAATAAATGCTAAAATATATTTTAAAATAAAAAAGTTGTAGTTTTGTTCATGAACAGTTTGATTCAACAAATTGTTTACTGCTCTAACATTAATTTCTGCCCTCGCCTCTTCTTTAACTCCCAAACTCCCAGCCTTAGCTGTCTCCAGCATCATCGCCAGCAGTTTACTTCACATTATACCACAGCACACTCGCTCTGAGCTCTCCGTCTATCCCATGGGCTTGTTTCTCACATCGTTTTGGCTCGGCACAGCCTCATCATTGCCAAGCCACCCATTCCCATAGTGATCATATTTATAATGTACTGTTTTCCTCTCTACTGGCACCTCATACCCTGAGGGATTTACAGCGGTAAACAGATATTTACAAAATAATCCCAGGTCGGCTTAATTTGCAACTCTTCCCCAGTGTCAAGTCCCGCTCCTTGGGATCAACCCAAAACAGACAAGGCAGGCCAATTAGATGCCCCCCTCCCCCTCCCACCACCATCACCCTCTCTCTCTAGCTGCATACCACTCTCACAGCTGTGTGTTTTGTGCGGAGGAACAAAAGTGTTTCTATGCTTGTATTTGCATTTTGGGTTCAAGTTTATTGCTTTCTGTTTATGAAGCGTGGTAGTTATCGAGCTTCCTCTTAATTCTGTGTGCGCTGTGCAGCATATCTCAAAGGAAACTGATTAGATGGACACAGAGCATTTGGGAATCCCCCCCGTATAGTAAACAGCCTTGAGGAAGGCATTTCCTGCATTACACACATTTGGGGAATGTGGTGAAAGACGGCACTCAACTGAATGTTGTTCACGAAGAGGATTGCGTCAATATTTTTCCCAAATTGTAACATAATGCTGTAATATTGTAATACCCTGCATATGGTTTAGATTTAATAAATGTCAGCAGATACACCAATAAACAGACTGAAATCAGTGTTTGGTGTGAACACACTTTATTTTTTAGTATACAAGGTCATTTTAAGCATCTTAGAAAACAGTATGAATAAAAAAAATACTATTTTAAATGTTATGTGTCGTCTTGTAGTTCCACTTTGATTTGATGATTTTTAGATCAGGTCTTGTTTCTTGTATGATACAGACTCATTCAAAAATTTGAAAAATAATAATTTTTGTAATAATAAATGTGTTTAATTGGGTGGTTGTTATGAGATTTACATAGACATTTTGATCCTGTAAGTCCAGATTAAACCTCCAGCTCATCTGAAGCATTTTCTTGTTAAAAACCTGAAAAAGCATCTATATAGACAATTCAAATAAATTTTAATTTTATTTTATGTTATGTTTCTTTGAGTTATTCACGAGGAGTTAAAGAGCTAAAAATGTTGTGAGATCTACGTTCCTTTTCCCCTCTCCTGCTGTGTAATTTGTAAGAGCTCTCATTGAACTGCAGCTCAAAATCTCCATGGCAGCCCGCCTTACGGCCCTCCCAGGCAGTTCCTTGTCTCTCGGGCCCATTCCTCTTCCCTCTGATCACCTGGCTTTACAGCGCTGTGGAGGGACTTGTGGCTGTTCCCTTGGTTCTCACTCCAGTCTCAGAGGCCAAAAAGAAGAGCAACAGGAGCCTTGGAGAGAGAAAATTAAAAAGAAAAAGAGAAGAAAAAGGGCCAAAGGCAGAGCAGTGGTGTGTGGAAATAATAGGAATATTTTGATGTAATCAGTGAGGTAGTTCTAGATGCAGGGCTATTTAAGAGCATGCTGAGCCTTCATATGGGTGGTTTCATTCTCTTTAGTTTTTAATAGCAGAGAGTAGGCAATGTTCTAAATATTTAAATATTTTAGTTGTTGTTATTTTTATGGATCTGAGTTTTTCACTGTGGGTTTTCTTATGCATATACTTGGTTTCTCTACTGCAAACTGAAGTATAATCAGCTCTACTAATTTTGCAGAACAGATCTAAACACCATTACACTTTGACTTACTTTTTGCACCAGTATCTATTTTCCGGAACAGCTGCTGTTTAAGCGAACATTTTATCAAAACTCTGGCGGTCCAGTGCTGTAGTTTTGCGTAACAGGTGCTCTTTTCTTTTTTTGTCTATAGGTCACGCTCGGTGGGGAGCCTGGGAAGGATTTGGGGCAGCAGTTGCTCCCAAAGTCGTCTCCAGGAGCCACGTGGACGTCACAGACTCTCCACTGTCATCCAACCACTGCGTCAGAATGCTGGGGAGGTGGTGGATCTCACTGTCGATGAGGATGGTAAATATGGATCAAGAATAAAACCTCGAACCAAAGCAGTGTAATGTGGGTTACCTAATCACTGTTTTTGAGTTTTAGTTAGCCTCTGTTATTTCCCTATTTTTAGCTGTGTGGATAATGTGCTTTCTAAGCAAACATCTAAATATATGTGAAAGAATAAACTAAATAGCAGTCGTGTGCGTTAAAATACTGTCATTTCTTACATTTTTCTTTCGTGAAATTAGACTTCTTAGACATTTTGTGATGTGGTCTTGACTGGCTTTAAGTTTTCAGGTTTTCAAAATGTTTTTAACTTATTTAAACCTGGGCTGCTTTTTAACTGGGCAGTGATGATTTGTAAATCTTAGGAGAGGTAGGTCCAAATTAATTTGCAAATATGAAAAGCAGATAGATTGCGCACCCAAAAATGCCAATACTGTTTGTTTCTCTGTGACTAAACATTGTCAGGTGAGCACATATGATGCATCCATTTTAGCAGTTTTGCTTTACAGTCAGAATGTTACTGTATTTTTCAGACTATAAGTCACTCTGGAGTATAAGTCTTAGTGAAAAAATGCATCATGAAGAGGAAAAAAAGACAAATGAGATTAACTTTATGTCAAATGTTTGCAAACACTGCAACAAGTTCAACTAAACAACATCAGCAACAAGCTAACATTAGCTACCTAAAGCTTACCATCCTCTGTTGTCCTACCCTCTCATTATTAGTGTCATACTGCTGAACAGTTCGGTACAGCCTTCGGTTCTTTTCCTTAGCGTTTGCTGTAGTCCATTGTTGTGTCGCAAATAAAACAAAAATGCATTCCAACAAGCAAGTTACCAGTAAGTTCATCAACCTCGATCCACATCACACGATTAGCTTTCTTCATTTTTCAGTGCAATAAGAGTAACCTCTGCTTTTCACCAACCCCTCACACGTTTCTGCAGACGTAATGTTTACTCCTTGATTCATGTTAGTCAGTAAGAAGAAAAAAAACTAATCAGTCACACCTGACTATAAGTTGCATGACCAGCCAAACTACGAAAAAGTGTGACTTATAGATCGGAAAATATGGTTATTTGTTTATTTAAGGTCACATGAACTCATATTTGTGTTTCTAGAAAAGATTTTGCAAGTACCATTCATTTATTATAGTAGTTTCAGAGCAGACAGCAACCACTGTTTTATAATTTGCACACTAAATGATCTCTTTATTCATCTTTTAAGTGTATTTGCCATTAGTACACATGTTTGAATTGCCAGTTTTGCATTTTACTCTTCAGATCTCTCAGTTGTGCCAACAACTTCTAGCAGCATTCACTCTCAGACTGTGAGGTCGTCCTCTTCATCATCCTCCCATCATGCCTCTACCTCTGAGCTCAATGATGCCCCAGGCCCTTCCACTAGCTGCGCAGGTTCAATACCTGATAGTATGCACACACAGAGGCCAAGTGGTCCTGCTCGCACAACTGCAGAGGGTAAGATGGCGTAAAGCATGCTAAACTACCTAATGTACAGTAGATTTTTGATCATATTAAAGGGATCCACGATTAGTTGTAACATGAGACGTTATTTGATAAACATATATTTTAACTGTAAAATAAAGACAGTAAAAATACTGTAGGCTGTTTAGTTTTGTAAATTTTTTAAAACATTTTAACATGGACGGAGCCATTTTATTTACACACAAAGCATTCTGGGTAAATCATGATGTGGATAGGTCATCGGTTCGAGGCTGCTAGCGAGCTATATCCACCCTGAAGGTTAATCTTGGACAATATCTGATGATCAACTCTTTTAAATGAAACCAGAGAGCGTTGACAGAGAGGAGAAGTTAGAAATGACTCAGCCTGTTACTGAAAATATGGATGGAGGACAACAGAGCTGCTTCATGGAAGAAGAACCTCAGCTTAGCCTGTTAGCCTTTGTGCTAGCACCGACGCTATATTGCCTTATATGTATTAGCTCGGCGCTAGCGTGACAAACTAACAAGCTAAACTGAGGTCCTCCATCTATATTTTCAGTTGCAGGCTGAGTCATTTTTGCGTTCCTCTCTCTGTCATGTGGATGGAGGACCTCAGTGACGAGAGGAGAATGTGTAGCGCTGAGCTAATACATATATATGTAAATGGTGATAGCATCGGGGCTAATGCTAAAGCTAACAGGCTAAGCTGAGGTTCTTCTTTCATGAAGCAGCTCTGTTGTCCTCCATCCATATTTTCAGTTACAGGCTGAGTCATTTTTGCGTTCCTCTCTCTGTCATGTGGATGGAGGACCTCAGTGACGAGAGGAGAATGTGTAGCGCTGAGCTAATACATATATATGGTGATAGCATTGGGGCTAACACTAAAGCTAACAGGCTAAGCTGAGGTTCTTCTTCCATGAAGCAGCTCTGTTGTCCTCCATCTATATTTTCAGTTACAGGCTGAGTCATTTCTACCTTCTCCTCTCTGTCAACGCTCTCTGGTTTCATTTAAAAGAGTCAGTCGTCAGAAATTGTCTGAGATTAATCTTCAGGGTGGATATAGCTCACTAGCAGCTGCGCACCGAGGACCTATCGTCATCATTTACCCAGAATGCTTTGCATGTAAATAAAATGGCCCCGTCCGTGTAATATATTTTTAAACTTTTGGTTTAAAATTTTTAAAAAGTAAACAGCCTACAGTATTTTTACAGTCTTTATTTTACAGTTAAAATATATGTTTATTAAATAAAGTCTAATGTTACAACTAATCATGGATCCCTTTAAAAGCGTCAGAGTTTAATTTCTTCTAGGTTATGGAAAGTACTCTGGAATATTCTGCATTTTGTGTCCCTTTGATACTAAATTGGGGTGTCATTGTCAAACAATGTTTAATTTTGCTCTCTTCAGATGACAACAGACCAGGTTTGTCAGGTACAGGAGGAGAAAACTCAGGCGCAACCATGCCCAGACTCCCATCCTGCTGTCAGCAGCACTCCCCCTGCGGAGGCCCCTCCCCTGCTCACCTGTCCCTGAGCCACTCCCATTCAAGCTGCCTGCAGGCGTCATCCTCTCAGCAGAGTGGCGGCTCTCAGCACAGCCACAGCAACACTCACCACTTTGTCCACCACATCCATCACCCTGCACCCCAACCCCCAGGCACTCTACCCTTTCAAGAGCCAAGCTGCCCCGTGGAGCGGCCCACKGCTCTGCCTGCCCCCTGCGCTGGAGTCAGCGGCAATGGCAGTAGCGGCAATGCAGCCCACTATCATGACCAGGTATAGTTAAACTGGATCTAGTTTCAGTTATTATATAATCTTAGAATGTTTTCACATAAATCTGCTATTAGGTAAACTGATGTTCTGATTTAAAGGGGACGCATCACGCAAAATCCACTTTTTAGCCGTTAAATGCATTTTGTTGTGTACTAGGAGTCACTATCAAACTAGAATGGAAGCTGGAGAGGGGCGGGGTATGAAGCGCCTTGTTTGGATTTAAAGAGACAACCTCAAAAGAGGGGCTTGTGGAGTTGCAATAAGGAGGAATTCAGACCAAAGCGTTGCAGTTCCATTTCATATAGACCCCAACTGAATGATTTAAATGTGAAAAAGAAAGATTTTAAAGTATAATATGTCCACTTTAATAGCTTGTGTTAGCTAAACAGGAGTCTGTTTTAGCAGCTAGAGTGACTGTTTTAGTTTTCACATAAAATTACAGCTCTTTCGAATTAACATGTTAGAGCCTGACAGACACCGAATGTGAAAAAGATTATTTCATTGTTTTTATCTATTTTACAACAAAAAAAGTAGAGTTAAATATTTATTATGGTCTTAAATAATGAAAGCACATATAGTTGAGAACATTAGATGCTTGTCCTTTGCCTTTTTTTTTTTCTTTAAATATTTCTGCTTCCTCCTACAGCAAACTCTGCCAGTGGATTTGAGCAACAGCAGTGTTCGAAGCAGTGGAACCAGTGGGGCTAGTTTCCATGGCAGCACTTCAGCCTTTGACCCCTGCTGCCCAGGCTCCACCTCACGGCCTCCTGCTTATGTTTCACATGCCACCCCTGGGCCCAGCCAGCCAGCTGTGGTGGACTCGTTTGGCTCCTCCATGGTGGCTCAGCCRCAAACACAACCCCAACCCTGCAGACATTACATGCACCCATCTTGTAAGTAAACTCCCTATCTGCTGTGAAAAAAAAAAGATTTAATTCCTCTTAGAAATTCAGGAATTTCTGTTCAGACTTTGATTATGTATTTATGATGTCATCATGCTAGTAAAAACAGTAAAGCACACATTCCTAAAACCTAATGCTTATAGTAATTAACAGACTGGTGGTTAATGTCCCAAGTGTAGTGGGAGCTGCTGCAGGCAGAAGAAGTTAATTGGTGCTCAGAATAATTTAAAATGGTGAGCGACTCYGTGTGACGAGGCTCTGTGGTGTAGGAAGAGTTTGTGGGTGTTGGTGGCTCTGCTCCTTTTTTGTTGCTCCTCATTTTATTGCAGCTGTAAAAGATGGCAGTAAAGTTTACCCCCAAAACAACAAACATTAAATGAATGACTCATCATACATAGTTCACCTAAGTTTGTCTTTGACTGAAATGTCTTAAAAGTAAAAACAAGTTGAAGTCAACCATTACAAGATCAGGTACAAATAAATAATTTCAGTTGAGAAGCGAAAATATTTCTACATATTACAGTATATAAAACATTTTGCGAGTATGGATTTCTTCATACTTGAGGACAAAATATGCATCAAAGGTAAGTGAAAAACAATTTTTTTTTTACTGCTGGTGGTTTTATAAGCTGTGTGGAATGTTAATGATTTGATAAATAATGAGGATATATTTGTTTATTGTCGTGTTTTGGCTGTTTTTTGGTGGAGATTGGCTGAATGTACTCCAGTTGGTATAAATATTTCTGAATATTAATAATTTATTTGGTAATTTAATCATGCTGTGAGTAAATTTGGATGGTAGAATGTGTTTTGTGGGGATTTTATCTTTTAATTTAAGCCCAGAGTGAAGTCTCTGTGGTGAAACGTTTAGAAATTACAGTGTTTAGAAAATGTGTCCAGTTTGGACATATTTGTACATGTGTACAAATATGCAAATGGAACATGCTGGATTGTATTATGTCTCAAATGTTCATATTTTATGCTACTGTTACCAAATTTGAACTGGTATTAGTTGGGAAGCTATATTTTAGCTCAGTATATTTTTTCCTCAATATCTCCTTCCTTTCATGTTCTGATACTTTATAAAAATACAAATTTAGGGAGAAAAGTATCTTGAGTTTTGTGTATTTTTACTTCAATAAACTAAATACTAGTTACAGTTACAAAAAATATGACTGCTGAAGTAAAAAATTCAGATTATTAGCTTTAAAAAGAGACCAAGTTTGTGAATTTACTCTAAAGGGTTCAAGATCAGTACTTCATTTAATTTGTATGTACTTTTTAAGCCATTTTATGGTATTTTAGGCCCGCAGGTTAACAGGTTAATGGTATAATTTTGTTGCCATTAAAGGATTTTTAACAAAAAGAATTATTTGAAAAATGCTTGAAGCACATCAACAGGTCTCACAGTTGAATAGTCTGAAGTATTTGTTGATGACAACAATCATAAAAAACCACAAACACTCACCAATGATTTTACTTAAAATGAGTAAATTCTCCAAAAAGAAGCTTTACTGCAATAGAAAAAGCTTTTAGCTGGCACAGACTGGAAAATCCTGACATGGATAGACGCCTGAATATTTTAGGTGTTTTAACAAAAAGAAATATATTAACCATTGCCAGCTTTATTTATAGTAAATAAAATTAGTTTGCTTCATTTTCTTCCAATTTATTTTCAGATGGCTCTCTGACACTGCACCACCAGCCCTCGTCTGCCTGCCCTCATTCCCATGGAAACCCCCAACTTTCTGCTCAGCCTCCTCCACAAGGCGAATTTCTCATTCCCCACACCTTCCACACACCACTGTCATCCCACCCGCCAGGTCACGCCGTGCCCCCCGCCCNCTGTCCGCCCACCACCTCTCCACTTCAAGTGCCCCTCTCGCCCAGCACCTTCCCACAGACCACCAGACCCTGCCGCACCACCTGCCTCCTCTGGGGCCTTCGGTGCAGCGGATCCATCAACACGAGATCCTGCAGAGGATGGAGGTTCAGAGGCGGAGGATGATGCAGCACCCCACGTGGGTATCAGCATCGTGGCGTTTAGCAGAGAAAAGCAGAACTTCGTATGTCGACCGTGTGTTTTGGTTTGTTTCCTTGCAGACGAGCACACGAGCGCCCGCCTCCACATCCTCATAGGATGCACCCCAACTACGGCCACGGACACCACATCCACGTGCCACAAACTATGTCTTCCCACCCTCGGCAGCCCGAGCAGAGAACAACATGGTCCGTATTAGAAATAATGAGTTTATGAATGAATAAAAACATTTAGGTTTATTATTGTGATGCAATGAAGCATTCATACTGTTGAGATGCTCCACTTTTCGACACGTCTTGTTTGACAATTCTTATGCTCTTTCAACAATTCATGTATCCAAACTTTCAGCTCCTTCAGGATATTCCAGCTATGGCTTTTGGTTTTTCAGCTATTTATACTTTTTGAGATATTAAGCCTCTTCGATCATTTTTTGTTCTCATTAGCCGTGTTTCCATCAACTTTTTTATGCACATTTTCAAGTATCGCGTTAGAAAAGGTGAATGTAAACGGCACGATAAAAAACTTCCTCTATTTTGCAAAAACGTTTTTAAGCTTTTTACTGAATAAGTTCTGACGTAGCGAACATTTACCTCACATGGTTGATCAGCTGTTCCCGCTGGCTGTCAGGTACTGGTACCAGCTGCGACTGTAGCTCCAGCTAAACCTTCCTCCCGCTATTGGCGGCTAATTAAAATTGGATGGAAAAACAGCTATTGAAAATAAATGGAGCTGTCTTCAACATCCTCAAAATCTTGCAAAATAGTTAGACCTTTGTTGCATTTTTCACCTCTTTCTTATGGTTTTTATTTATTTAAATTATTTTGTATTTTTATATTTCTTCAGCTTTTCTTCTTGTTTTTTTAAGCTAATTTTAGCTTTTCTTGCCTTTTCAGCTATTCTACTAAATAATTTTTTTTAGTTTTTTTCAGCTTTTTTCTGCTAATTTAAGCTTTTTATGCTTCTTTCAGCTGTTTTCTGCAAGTTAAGCAAGTTTGAGTTTTTTCTGCTAATTTAAGCTTTTTGTGATAGTTTCATCTTCTTACTGCCTAATTTAGCAAACATGCATTTTTTTTCAACAATTTGCAAATTATTTTGTTCATCTTTTCAAATTTTCTGCAAAAATCTCTTTATCATCAAGCTTTCTAGCTGTGTTTTGCTGAAAATACAAACACTAGTTTTAAAAAGGTTTTGATGTACTGACAACTTGTTGCTGTTTGTCAACAGGGAGCTTGGCATCGAGGCTAGTGTTCCAGTGGCTCCGTACACTTCAGGGCATCTGCACCCCCACCTGCCCCACTATCATGCTCCCCCAAGACTGCACCACTTCCCCATTTCCATCATGGTTAGAGAAACTCTCAGCACATACACACACACACACACACACACACACACACACACACACACACACACACACACACGCGCACACATGCACGCACATGTAATGCAAAGTCTATCTGAGATTAGTTGTGCCGATCCCCCTTATTTATAGTATGAGTTATCTCAAGGATGCTTTTGTGAACCACATGAATAATTCAGCAGCAATTACCAGAGGCTCATCAAGCATTTCAAGTGCACACTCAACAAATCCTGTATCCTTGACTCGCACATCCAATGCATGTTTAGTTTGCAGCTTTGAGATGTTATTCATTAGTTTTAATATGTATACATCTCCGACCTTCACCATTACAACGTTGCCACGAGCACACTTTGTTTTAAAATTAAGTTATTTTGTTAAAGATCAGATTCAGTTTTAGCCACCGGCACATCATGACCAGAAAATTTAAACAATAGAGATTTGCAAATGATTTTCACTTGGCTATAGTGTGCACATTTCTCTCCACTATACAACATTCATGCTATATTCTAAATGCTTTCCCAGGGCTTAACAGTAATGTGTTGTGCTGCACTGCTTTTTTTTCCCCTCACAGCACACTGGCATTTCTGAAGTGACCTACCCGCACATTAGGTACATCTCATCTAGAATCACTAACTTTGGAAGAAGCTACGAGGTGAGAACTGCTTTTCTTTGATTCAGAGGGAGAAATGCAGAAAGGGTCTTCATCTGTCACTGCCATTGTTACTAACAACCTTTGTATATTTACCTAATGACTTTATTTTGAACTTGTCAGAAGTTTCTGCTTAACTTAAATAGTTGCTGGTTTTACTCGTGGACTTTGCTCTCTATATCGGTGTCCTTGAGGTGAAAAACTCTAAATTTCTGGGATTAACAAACTTTAAAAAACATTTATGAAAATTGTTTTATAGAAGTAGCTTCCAATTGATATATAGTAATTTCTTTCACACGATTTGATTCATTACTGCTATCTTGGAGGTTAACAGCATATTGATTCAGTTAGCAGCAGCAACACGGATACTGCATACTAGAACATGCAGGTGTTGACCTTTGCTTGCTTCATAATTTGATTTCTTTCCTTCGGCTAATGATTTGGTTCATCAGTGTTTTGTATTTTTAAATTACCATAAAACCACACTGTGGTTAATAAAACCTGCACTGTCTTACAGTTCCATGGTTTTACAGTTTAGGATCAGGMATAGGATCATCATTATGATCTCATAACCTTTTGCATGTAGTATGCCTTTTTTATTCATTTAAATTTTTTATGTGTTGTTTTCAGACAAATGGTTTGGGTTRTGATAAAAGTTAGTGCYGGGCACGTTACCGTGTTAATGTTGCATTCTTGATCTTGATCACTATTTGCTTTAGTTGKGTATCATCACTCGTCTCAACCAATAAGAGACTTTGTACCTTATTATTATACCTGAAAAATGCTTTAAACATCTTTGAGTCATAATTTTTTTTGCATAATAATGAGATTAATCAAGGATTCAAAGAGGTTTCATTGTCTTTTCAAATGAGTGCATGAGGAACAAAAGATATGAAAACATAATAAGAGATAAGCAATAAGAAGATAAAAAGAAGAACACAATAAAAATAATGTACATAGTGTATCACACATGGAGTGTATTCCAACATACGAACAGTAACTTTCAGCCACAGTAATCATTTCTCAAAAAAAAATTATTCAAGATTAATCACAATTAAAATTTGAATTTTAATCAATGCCCAGCACTAGTTAAAAGTACAAGAGTTGTTTTGTTTRAATAAAAAATGTCCAATGAGTGGTTGTGATGAAGATGAAACTCTTGAACATCTTTTTCTTGAGCATTACAGGACTCTGGAGACGAGAGGTAAAATGGAGTCTATCGGCTTCAGAGTTTAAATAAACACAAGATCTGTCTTATGGCGTTTTTAAATAAAGTTTATTCTGGTTGGTGATGTGTGTTTATGAATTCACATATCTGGGGAAAAAAACATGACAAACCTCAGGTAGAGGAAAACACTGTACTGCAGATATAAATCATCCCTGCCCTGGGAGTGTTGGAACATTTAGATGTCATTTTCAATTTATTGGTTTATTTTTAGTTTTTCAAGAGACTTCTTTTTGATTATTTTTAAATGAACCTTAAATGTAATGAGTACAAATTGCATTTATAAATGTATAAAAATGTGTTGAATATTTAAATGAAGTAATAAAAAAGTAAAAGTACAAGGCAGAATATCATCATGTCAGTGCATGTAATGTAAAATGATACAGACATATATCATAGATATTTTCATCAAATATAACAAATTGGTGTGTCAATAATTTCATGTCAGTACTTCACAATGGGTGATTGAATGAAAATGAAAATAGGAGTTGAAGGAACTAGGTAACAAAATGTTATGTTTTGCATAGAACTGATTTTGCCTAAGGGAGAGGAACGAGGTACAACACATGAAGTTGGGGGATATCAGGCCRTGCTTCATGTACTGGACTGAGTGAATCAAAAGGAACTCATTTTGTCAATAGTTGAAATTGAGTTTTGATTGATTGAAAATCAGCAGACCTGCAGGAGGAACCGTATTCTTTACAGACCTATAGTTTGTATATTCTTTCAGCCTGAAAATGTTTTCTCTGCGGCTTTCCTCAGGACCTGCTACATTTAGAAGAAAGACTGGGGACTGTGAACAGAGGAGCCTCTCAGGGAACCATAGAGAGGTGCACCTACCCACACAAGTACAAAAAGGTAAGCACAGTGTGTATGCTGCACTGCTGAATCATAGATTTTGAAGGTGTTGGATGTAGTTGTGCATGTCTGTTGCAGCATATTCTGGGACAGAGTGCGCATTGGTCTTTTGTGCTCATTTAAAACATCTGATGTTGACATTTAGAAAATCCTGTAGTGTCTTTTACCAGAGATTGCAGCTGTGAAGATATTGTTGGGGGAAAGGTTTCCTTAGAGGTTTTCAAATGTATCTAAGCAAGCAATCTCACACCCTGCCACCCAATACAGAAGGTGTTGGAGAGAGACATTGACCAACAGTTAACCCCTGAAGCTTGGGCATCTATTGGGAAAAATATGCACGCAACCTCAGAATCGGTGAGAAAAAAAAACAAACAATTCAATTTGGAAACATGTCTCTGCTCACGTGTATAGTAGATGTTAGTGTTGTTTCTGGGGGCTGGGAAATTCGGCTTGTATTTGATGTAAATGACTTTGATTTTGAATTTGATATTGTTAAAATAGGAGAAAAGTTTTTTTTTGTTTGTTTGTTTTCAGGACAAAATGACCATTCTCTCTGTTCCCAAATTTTAAGTTTGTTTTGTTAAAATGTTTCTTTAAAGACTTCTTTACTTTGAGGGGTAATGTTGTATATTTTAATGTATGTCATATTTTTAATGTTATTTATTGGCATAAATGAGCAGTTTGAGTGAAATTACTGAGCATCTGTAATGATTTTGATGAAACTACTTTGTTGGCTGATGCTGCGTATCAAAAGTCATGTTTTCGAATGTTTCTCAAAAACAGAGAAAGCTGCACGGTAAGCAAGATGAAGACGAGGGGGCAGATGAAGACACAGAAGAGAAATGCACCATCTGTTTGTCAATACTGGAGGAGGGGGAGGATGTCAGGTAAATGGCACGCCTCCTGGGTGTTTTTCTTGCCTGTTGCTTACAGTTTTCAGTGTGTTAAATTATGCGACTGTGAACCTCCAAACAGGTGGGATCGCAGGTGCTGTTGTTTCAGATTGCCTCCATCTTATGGGAATTTATTTTTTCCTTTAAAAAAGAAAACAAAACCCAAAGGATTTATCGTAATCAGCAGAAAATCCCAGAGTGCCTAAAAATTAGCAGCCTGATGGAGTTGCTTTTTGGCAAATGCTCAGATTTTTTTAAGACAAAATTATGCCCCCTGTTGGCAGAAAGGAATTTTAATTTTTAATTCCTATTGATGAGTCAAATTGTCTTTTTTATGGTCTAACAGTTATGCTTTATCCATAATGAATGAATTATTTGTTTTTATTCCATCTGTAATTAAAAATGACAATTACATTGACTGTATTAATCAAAACTGGAAAAAACAGTTTTTAATCTAAAACTAGGGGTGTCCTGATATCAGTGTTTTCTCAAATTGATTATGAGTACAAGTACTTTAGTTTGGGTACTTGCCAATAACAAAAACCAATACCAAGAACTTACTGAGTTAGAACCTAAACATTACACAATGACTTTAAAAGCATATTTCTTTTATTTAGAACAATGTGGTTCTCCTTCCTTATAGAACTCAAATATACAGCTGTTGAAATAAATAAAATCAAAAATAAGGCTTTCTTTCAACTTGTATATGTTTCTTAAACACGGAACTGACAAACGTTTCACTTGAAGTGTAAACTAACCCCCAATTTACACTGCATGCGTTTACGCTGCTCTGTGCAGTTTTCCGTCAGTTGTTTCCACCCCAGTTCACACTGCGTCTGCTTCACTCCGGTACGAAGCACAGACGTGCTCCTAGGAGCAAGCGCAGGAAATGAGAGAATGCACATTAAAGCCTGTGATAATTGTGGAAGTCAGATCAAAACAATTCATTCTGTGGAGGACGGACAGTTAAACTACGTCACTGTTGTCTTTTTGAAACTTCTAATTTCAGAATAAAATCCACTCGTATTTTATGTGTATTCATGTACTTCATGTTACCATCGTCTACCCAAACAGAATGATACATTTTGACAGCATATGTGTATAAATATATCCATAAATATTTATTAATATAGCTAATATAGTCTGTTGGTGTGGTATGATCTTTGTAGATTGCCTACACACTTGTTCTGTCGTTCAGCAACAATAGGATTGAATCTTATTTTGGCAGATCACCACGCGCACGCTGCTGCCCTGCACCGCCACCCTGTGCTGTCCGGCGCAGGCAGTGTAAATTCTCTCAGTTATAATGAGTGAGCTTTCACTGTGGAGGTCGAAGCGGACGCTGTGTAAATTGGGGGTGACGCGTTCAAATAAGTATTGAATCTGGTATCCGATGTGCCTCTATCTAAAACACACCTAAAGTTTTTACTTCGTGCAGACTTTCAATGTAGTGATATTTATAATCGTTTCAAACAGACACTTTATTTTATTTTCATCATTAGACAATAAGAAGTCTCTTTTGACTAAGATCACTTAATTATTTTGCTGTTTTATTTCTAATTCTTATATATCTTTCCCTGAACTAAATACGTTTTTTTAAATAAAGAGATTTTTATTTAGAAAAATTCTGGCAATCTGGTAAATTTGGTTGGTTGAGCTCTGCTGTTAATAAAAGCGAAGGTTTTCTGTCGGCTGAAGGTTTTAAATAAACCTTTACATTCAGTGTTGAGATTATATGATGTCTAAAGTTTTTATTTTCAAATTCAAAGCRTTTAAACTTATTTCTGTTTGCTCTAGTCAACATAATTTATTGACTTAGAGGTAAAAAACTAGATTTTAGGCTCAAATGTTCACGATGGTACAAATCACTGTTCTTGTTACTGAAGCTTGTTTCAGATCATTGATTTCTGCATTGTTTAAGGAAATGTTCTGAGGTACATTTTGGCTCATTTGCCTCCTCCGTTTCACCTGCAGACGCCTGCCGTGTATGCACCTCTTCCATCAGCTGTGTGTGGATCAGTGGCTCCTCACCAATAAGAAGTGCCCCATCTGCAGAGTGGACATTGAGGCGCAGCTGTCAGCCGAGAGTTGATGCTGTTTTTCAAACAACTCTTTCGTTTGTTCAGAATTTATTTTAAAATCATATTAATTTCCTCCTCAGTACTGCAGTCAACCAAAGATGGCATGAATTACCTGCGCAGCTCTACTGCGAGAAAATAAAAATAAATTTAAAAAAGGATAAAATTAAAAAAACAAACAAACATTGAGCCTAGAGTGCCAGCTCTCACATATTACAACAACAGCTAGATTTCTCCATTAAGGATTTAAGATTTTATTGTATTTATAAAGCTTTTATGTAGCTTTTGATTGTTTCCTAAAAAGTGTCATTTCTGTTTTGTTTCTCTGCATGTTTCCTTGCAATGCATTTCTTTGCACATATAACTTGGGCTAAGAAATGGCCCAGCAAGTTGCCGGTGAGGGAGCTGCTCTAGTAAAGATGCATTTCTGTAAACCTAATGCCTTGCTTTACTAGAATAGAATGTCAACCTCCAGATAATTTTTTTTAGAAAAAAAAGGAAAAAAATACATTGCAGGATTCATTTTACCAATCATCGTATTGATTAGTTTTATGTTTAGCAGGTGTGGATTGTTAGTGAAAGATGTTTTAAGTACAAATCAAGACATTCCTAATTAGGGAAACATGTTAACAGATCAGCTGCTGTATTTGTGCACACCCAGTATTTCTAGAGTGGAAAATAAACTCCATTGTTCACCTCACTCCCAGAATATGCACATGCTTTGCTACGATTACACCTCCCTCCTGCACCTTCGTTTGACTACGGCACTGTTGTCACTATCATCTTATGTAATTTAGGAAGCAAGGAAAAGAATGTCACCTCACCTCTCTTGACTGTTCTTTCAAAAACCAAGCGATTGTCGGGAACTGCTGTGAATCTTTTCGTCRGTTTGGTTGGCGTTCTCTCCACAGAGGGGTTGTGCGACGCTTAAATAGGTTTGTGTGAGAGGATCTCAGGCCTGCGTGTGTTTATAAATTTCATATGAGCCTGCAAAAATGGTGATCATGTTCATTTGATACTGACAGTGGTGTTGTCTTTTTTTTTTTTTTAAAAATCTGTGTGTGTGCTCAGAGGGAAACGCACACCTCACCATGAGATCGATATTTGCTCTTTGTTCTTACTTTTCAAAACAATTTACCCCCCATTTCTTCCGTTTTGTCTCTCTATAGTTGAGCAAATGTGTCCGTTTCGGATGCAGAGGAAAGAAAAAAAAACACACTAATACTGTTGATTAACTCACTCGCATAGACTTGCACAAGAAAGAAAAAGTAGGAGAATAATATTAAATAAGACTGTGTGCTGAGGCCATGTACTTCCACTCTGATGAATAGAAAAAAGGAAGAAAAAAACAACGGAGTGTTGAAATGCAGTACTTAAAGCAGGTATCCATGCATTCATTGACTTAAGGCACCAGGATTATATTATGTGGGATTTATATTAGTTTTGAAAATAATATTAATAAACTTGGATAACTCTTGTCGAGTCCTTTTTTGATTTCCACTTGGAGTGAATGTTAGGATTTTTTTAAATTTAAAGTTGGGGAGGCTATTTTAAAAAAGTGGGGAGAAAAGTCGGTAAAAAAAAAAAAAGCAAGACTATTAAAGGAGACATGACATGAAWTCCTTTCCTCCTTGGGCTTCACTGTCAGGATGTGACATCAGGCCACTAGGTGTCGTCCTTCACCCACTTAAATGAGTTTAATAACCGATTATTGTACTCGGACACTCAAATGGCAGCATTACTTTTAACTAAAAGTTGCATTAAAATATCTGGATGTGTTGATTTAATTTTCACAGCTGTATATGATGCATTCAGTTTTTTGTATATTACTATGAAAACGTATCAAATCCTCTAATTTAACTGGCAGAAAAGCAACACGTCTTGTTTTTTCACAGTAATACTTTCAATTTCCATCTGCTCGCTTATTTATTGAATTTGCTCAGTTCATATGCATATAAAATGCAAAAAAAAATAAAACTCTTAAGCTTAGTATTCATTGTTTTTACATGAGTTCTCATTAGAAACAGAATGTTGAATGATGTGGAGAAAGCTTTTATTACATGGAGTTTCACAAAAGCTGTACAGAGAACGTGGAGTTGATCAAAACCATAAAGATTATTTTTGGCAAATTTGGAAAAGTACAACAGTTAGAGATGTAAGCAGTCAGGGACATATGATGGAACGTTTGAAAATTGTTTCAAAAATGTTATTTTTAATGGAAAAACTGCAGGAGAAATAGGTAAACCATACCCTGTAAATCAAGACCTCCAGGTCTAAAAAAATGAATCCAGTGCAGGGAATCTTTACCTGTGTTGTTTAAGGCTTTATCACTGGGTGATGAGTGTCTTCTCATCAGACACGAAACATGTTCCACTTATCTCACGTCTTCCTTCATATAGCATAATATTTAATTTATTGTCAGGATAATAAACTTAGAGCTTTCATAAGAACAGAGAAAAGTCTGTAATAACGCAACAGTACAGGCTTTATTAAAATACTCATCTACTGGTGTGTATTGCACAAGGAGGCRTTCAAAAGTCCAAATTATATTTAAGGGTGCAGTTAAAACAGAAGTCTGCAGTTTTTCCTGACTCCAGCGTGACTTGGTCATGTGACTGCAAAATGTGGAAGTACTGCAACAGCATTGCAAAGGAGAAACAGTTACCACCAACCAAAACAAACGGTTGTCACCTCAGTCTTTTGCAAATGGCCAAAGAGAAATCCATGAACCCCAGTTTGTGATGATCCTGAAGCTGCAGCCTGTGGCTTTCAAAGGTTCAGGGGCAAAAGTGTGCTAATATTCTTAAGATAATTTAAAAAAACAATAATTTAAGTTCTACTCAAAAACAAGCATATTCCTGCAAATGAACACATATACAGAATTAGACCAAAAGGAAAAAAAGAGTTTTTGCTTCATGTAAACAAATTATTCTCAGTAACTCGGCTTATTGCATTGCAATCTGTCCTTTTCAGACTAAACTTATWGGCTGTGAAGGAGCGATGGTGTCCGTGTCCAAGGTAGTACCTGTACCAGTAAAGTGCTAAAACACCACCGACAGCATGCTCAAGTTACAGTATACATGGTTCAAATATACCGGTGTCATAAAAGAGCAAAAACAACAATAAAATCCAGATGACAGAGGTTTTTCCAGGTGATTCCCCACATTACCGCAATGCCCATTTGTTTTCAGAAGAGACTTGGAAAAATATTGCTTTGATACTAAAAAAAAAATCCTTTCTTTTTTTAAGTTGTCGTTCATTGAGTGTCTGTTCCTACAGTTACAGCTTTCCATGAAAATAAATATTCTTGTTAAAATAGAAGTCCCTTCAGGTTTGACACAAGGATGTTTGCTTCAACAGTTAAAACCTTCATCAAARAGCAAAACATCGAGACTAAAATTCACAGCCTGGTCCCAGAGATTTAGCAGATTTCTTTTCAATGCCTCAATCCTCAGCGAGATATTATAAAGAAAGTAAAAGGGGAATACAGAAATCTATAAATACAATAAATAGTTTGTTCAGTACTCAAAGAGGCTGTAGAAACAAACGGACCCCCAGGGTCCCCCCGACAGCCTCCTGGTCTTTGGAAAAGAGCCTCGTTTTGATTCCGACAGATGTTTGGTCTGCTGGCGTGACCGACGGTTACATTCGTGTGGCATAAGGCAGTAGTAGAAGAAGAGTCTCTCAGTGTCCGTCTCTCCCACTGTGGGCTCTGTCCCRTCCTCTGAAGGGGGTCAGAGGGAACGCAGCAGGCCTCTCGCTCCTCGTACTGAAAACCAGCAGCTCCTAGATCTTGGTGACGTAGTTGTTGGGGAAAAGTCCCTGCTTCCCTCGGAGTCGTCCTGTCCACCATCCGGACGCGTCTGCTCAGCGACATGACTGCGTTAGCATCCAAATAAAAAAAAACAAAACTAAAGAAGTCACCATTCTTTGGCCATACTTACCCTCTTTGATGATGTCGATGACGTCGTCGGCATTGAAGCTGAGCTCGTCTGTATCCTGAGCGTCGTAGGCRTACAGGGCTTTGCACTGAGGCACGTGGGGTTTGGGTTTTGGTGTGGGCTTGGGTCGTCCTCCTCCGGGTGTAGGTCTGCTGACGGAAGGTCTGTGGGCACTGAAGCATCAAAAGACAAGAGAAGAAACAACCAAGCAGTAAGGATAAGCTGAAAGCAGGGCGCTGAAGAAATGATTCATCTATCAATCAGGCTGACGAGYGAATCTGAAAGGATTTATTTATCCACCTGCACAGGTGTAACAACCCCACATTCTGTAGAATCATCTAAAAAGTTTTTTTATGCAATCACAGAGGTAACCCCATCTATAGGACTCCAAGTTTTATTGATCCTCCAGATTTTAATMTTTACCATCAACAAGTGCTTTCTCAGAGGCTGCATTATTACATCACTTGTAGAGAAAAGTTCTGAGAAGTTTTTATAAAGCTGTAATAGAGGTCCACARGATCAAATAAATCTGGGTGACAAACCCATGAGTGGAGCTTTTTAAGACTAAACTACAATAGACTAAAATAAACTTATTCATTCCTCAGCAGGGAAATACCCGTTTGTTGGAACAGCAAAAGAAGTGACTAAGACTGAYTGGCCAATCTAACGTGATCCTCTGCAGCAAGTGATGGCCAAGCGGGGCATGTCATCATGACTTGACACAAGTGTGTCTTTACCTCCGCGGCAGAGGCTCCACCGAACCCCTGAGACCGGCTCATCGAACMCCTAGGTTCGATCGAACCCAGGTTAAAAACCACTGAACCAACATCAATCATATTGTGTTTAGATTACTATACCACACATTAGGACTGAAAATAGAAGAGGATTGTTTTTGCATTGCAGCAAAAAGGTTTTTTTTCTAAGAACGCAAACTTTTTTTTGATTTGTGATTAAAATCTGAATTTTGACTTAGAATTCTGAGATTAAAACAGGAAAAACCATTTTAAGATGAAAAAATTCTAATTCTGTCAATAAATTCATAAGTCTAGGACTAAAATCAGAATTTTAAAAAAGAGAAAAGTTTTTGAGAAAAAAAAAGAAGTGACTAAGATAAATAGATGAAAGGAATTCCCACAAGTAAATGCAAAAGTAACAAAAGAATGTAACRGAGGTTAAATAAAAAGGTATTTTTACAAACTCTAACCCCACTAAAACCATCATATGGATTGATGTTTAACTTGATCATTTTAGGCCAACAGTTCAGTTTCTGCTCAACAACAGAAATACAACCCATCTGAATGCCAAGGAAGGCACTGKGATTTCGGTATAAAATGTTTTCACTTTTCCCCTCTTGTAAGTGACTAAAATCAAAGTATATTTAAAATGATTTTCACCAGATGATTTGTGCAGCAGTTCACTTTTCAGCCACAAGATGGTGATCTAAGACAAGAGCTCACTTWGCACATAAACCAAACACAGCAGAAACAACTGATCCTCAGTCAGTCTTTTAATTTAATCAACTCCATTTCAATCAGAATACAGAGGACAGAGTGAATGACTGCACTAACAGAGGATCAGATGAGGAAACAATAGATGATGCCATTAGAAAGCAGATGAACAGATGAACACTGTATGTATGATATATTTACTGAATGAGTCCCACTAAATACCAGAGATTTAGCAACAAAGGGAAGTAAAACAACAGATGACCTAATATGGTCAGAAGTTTTCCTTTTAGTCCTGAACCACCACCCAAAACACCGCAAACACCCCAAACTCACTTTTCTCCGTTTGGAGCTGGCCGTCTGCCTCCAGAACTATAAAAGAACGAATTAGCCAGATTATGTCAAATTCAGRAAACAACACCAGGATTATTATTGTGTGAATACGGTGCCCTTTGGATTAAAGGTTTGTAACGCTGCATGTGAAGCAAAAAAACACACATAAGCACTGTAAGTCAAAACTGTTTTTTTAAATAAATAAATAGCCTTACTAATAAAATACTTCTTTAAGAAGAGGTTTAAACTTGAACTAAGTGAACCACACGCTTGCTTTTTTATAGGTTTAAAGGTCAGCAACAGCATTCGTTATGTATTAATCAAGTTCATTTAATTAGTAACAGTAGTTTCAAGAACTAATCATGTCACTCATTGGTTCCCAAACTATTTAGCTTCTGAACCACAAAACAACAGAAATTTGTGACCCCAAACTATCTTTGGTTAAAGTAAAAATAAAATAACATTGCAATTAAACTGGGGTGATAATGACTAGAAATAGTACTTTTATTGACATATAACATTTAATTTATAAAATATGACAAAAATATACTTAATAATTTGTTAAACCAACTTTATTTATAAGAAATCATCTCAAGACCCCAAATTTAATGTTTTGTGACTCACAACTTTGGGAACCAATGGAAAAAGTCTCCTGGCTGATTTAGATTAAAGTAATTGTGTTTGCATGTTTTAAACCTTTCCCCTCTCAGCCGGTCTGTGTGCTGGACTCACCCTGCAGCTCCCTGGTCGGGGACTCTCAGACAGTCCAGGTTGGGCTGCTGCCGGCCGCCCCCCCCTCGCTCCTTCAGCTGGTTGATGTTGCTGGGCAGGAAGGGGCGAGCCRAACTGGTGGGTGGGGGGTGTCTCTGGCTGTGGTGCTGCGAGTTCCTCTGGTTGGCGATGTGGTTGGTGTTTTTGGGGCCTCCGTTCTGGTGAGCTACTGCAGAGAGAACAGACAGGAGCTGGTTTTATGGCCGACGGCTGCAGAAGCTGCTGATGTGCTGGGACRTGTGAGCAGGGGTACCTGGGGGTCCTGGTGCTGTTCTTGATGGCTTGTTCTGGTGGGACCTGGGCACACTGGAGCGACTTTGACTGAAGCTCTGCTTTGTTGGACCTGAGATATTTTCAGAAATTACATACATGTCAAGTTATCCGTAATTTACACCGATTTTCCCTCATTTTGCAGGTGTATCTAGAGCAATTGCACAGATTTTTTTTTCAAGTTTTATAGATTTTTTCAAAAATTGAGTTTCAAACTTATTTTACATCTCAGAGCCTGTAGGACATTAAAAAAACAATAACATCAAATAATTATCTTCCAACCCATTCTGCTGATAGAAATAAGTCCCCCACCCCCATATGTGTCTACRAAAATCAGTTTRTCCAAATTTTCATTTTGGTTCAGTAAACAAAACAAAAAGTGTTTTATTTTATGTCTCAAAAAAAAAAAACGAACTGCCTGAATGACATCAACCATGTTAAATCTAAAMACACCGATCCAGACCACAGACCTACAATCGCTGGTCCAGCTGTAGTTCTACTGAAACTCACGTGTGTTCTTGGGAAGTCCTGGTCCGATGCTGATCTGCAGAGATTTGCTCGAAGGCTTCAAGACAGCAATGTCTCCCTGCCCCTGCACAAACACCACCTGTCTGGAGTTGCCCCCGCTCAGGAAGCCCCAGTTCTCCTTCTTCAACTTCATCTCCAGTCTGAAAAGTCCATGAATGAAATAACATTTTCATCATCCTCAGATTTTTTTTTACAGCTAAATAAAACACTTCTGTTGCAGTCTCTTAAAAGAGGTAGTTGTTTTTCTGTCCTTTGCTTGTTGTGGCTCTCTGCTCACTTACGTGTTACTAAACTTGAGTGGAAGTTTCCTCTGGGTTTTCTCCTCGAACCTTCGGGCCAGTAAGCTGATGAACTCSGTTTTAAAGACGCACTCCAGCAGGCTGTCGTACTCCTGCTCATGCAGAATCATGAAGTCATCCTGCAGCGAGCTGAAACCAAAGATTGAAGCATTAAAAAGCTTGTCTCAGGTTTAAAATAATAACAAAAACACGACATTAGATATGATGAGAAACAAAAGACGATGGTCATTCATGCAGATGTTTTGTTTTTTATGGAAGCTCAGATAGGGAGTCAGCTTTCACTCTTGCATTAGGAGCCCCCCACCCCCCACCCAAAAGCCACTCAGATCTGAGGAGGGACTCAGCTTTGTGCCTGAACTGAACACAAGGATTTTCTGTTCCTCGACCTGAGGTGGAGTTTCTGTCTGATGAGTTTTTTTACAGCTCCTGCTTTCGCTCATAATAACACCACCTGGTCCCTATTACMCCACTGACTCAAAGGCCACGAGCTCACAGTGACAGCTCTGAACCATGTTTCCATCAACAATAAAGAAAAAAAAAACAACTTCACGTTATTTAAATTTGGAGTTTATTCTCTGAGAAACACATCCACATTTCTTAAAGGGACTTTGACTGCATTGTTTSAGCAACAACCTGTTTTTCCTCTGATCCACACACACATGAACTTTTTAATTCACCCCACATGTTTTCCGTGTCCTTTGCGTGACTTTTACAGAAACATGGAAACTTTAACTGGGAAACCAGAGTTTGAAGATGATTCATGATTTTCTTCTGTGTGGTGTCTACAGACTGTACCGAGGGGTTTAACCTAACATCCCACCACAGTCACCATGGTTATCGCTGAGGCGAAGGCGGAGGATAATGTTTTTGCTCAAGTCTGTGTGTGTGTGTGTGTGTGTGTGTGTGTGTGTGTGTGTGTGTGTGTGTGTGTGTG